AAGCGACATTAATTTCTTGACGAGCTAATATATCAATACATCTTATTGTCAGACTACGCTGATGATGGAATAAGTGTAAATAAAATACTAAAATGATATAAAGAAAACCGTCTACAACATTTATACAGTGCGAACTCTCTTAACAGTCTAAACATCGACTTTGGTTTTCTCATGTATCGATTTCATTAAACGATGACAAAGTTCCCATGTACAAGAAAACCTGAAAATGTATAATTATTTTTTCCTTTTTTTTTTTTTCGATATTCACGCAAAGTTACACAAACGGCTATCTATGTTAGCCGACCGTAACCTTGAACTTATTGACTGGATGGAAGGCAGCTAGTCAACAGCATCCAGCGCCAACTGCGACCTCGTGAATAACATGCCAGAATGTTTAGATGACGTTCGGTGGTTCACGTCTTGCTAACGCCAAAATAAAAAAGAAAATATCGCGCTCCGCACTTTAGAGACGTGGGTACGTTATAAGAGTGATGGTCCAGTCCCATTATTAGGTTTAACAAGAGCAACCCAAGAGTTGGCGGTGGGTGGTGTTGACTAACTGTTTTCACTCTAGTCTATCACTTAAATTATGTGCGGCTTTCGTTTAGATGAAGAAGCATAAAATAAGTATTTTCCAAATATTATATTCCACTCAAACATTTCGTGCATAACTAACTTAATATATTATTATACGTGTAATATTTCAATATCGTTTGAGGGCACCATGACATGCATTTTCGAACAGATTTAACGGATATTGTCGAATGCATTTAGAAGGTCACCAACAGCGTTTCGTTCTTAGTTTTATCGTGTGAAATAATATTTAAAAAGAAGACTGTAATTCATGTGAATGAATATTTTCTGCAGCACCGAAATTGTTCTACAGAATCAGAAAGCAGATGGATGTGATGGTGCTGGAGATTGTTCGAAAACTGGGAGTCGAGAAGATTATGTAGTTTTAATAATCCTGTTACTAATTTAGTGCATCGCTAACATATTGTTTGTATTTTCTTTGGTGAGACACAAAATATCGCGTTTTAATATAGTAGAAATAGAAATGTAATATTACATTTCCTGTTTGTTTGTTTGTAAATAAGCCCAAAGCTACACAATGGGCTATCTGTGCTCTGCCCACTAAGGGTATCGAAACCCGGATTCTAGCGTTCTATCAAGTCATCTCATAAGTTCTGTCCGGATTTTAATTCTTTGAAATTTACTAGTAATTTAGAATGTTTAATGGAAATAAAAAATATTTATATATCATACATATGTATTTGGGCATATTTAAACTTATTAAATTTTATTTTCCACAGAATAAAGTATTTCAAATTTCACTGATTAAAGCCCTTTGAACATGAAAGTATCTAAGGAGCATTTGAGGCATATAATGCTTTATGAGTTTAAAAAATGGAATTCTGCAGCCGAAGCGACTCGAAATATTCACTCAGCTTATGGAGAAGAATGCCTGAATGAAAAAACTTGCAGAAGATGGTTTGCAAAATTCAGAAGTGAAAATTTCAGCCTTGAAGATGAAGACCGAACAGGACGTCCAGTTGAGTTTGATGATATGCTCCTTGTGGCATCACTTGAAG